GATTAGCCACGAAACAGAGCAGTCATAGAAAGAAAATTAAATGGAAAAACGATAGTACGTGACGAAGAGCGAAACGATTGAAAGGAGAATCGAGAAACCTTGAGAGGAAGAAGTGTTTTCTTTCTCTCCTTTCTCGTACGATTTTCTGCCCTTAATAATCAAGAACGCTCGTGCTTTAACCAAATGGGGGAGAAAAAAAAAAAGGATCTCGTTCCATTAACATATTCCTGGGTCGGATTATAACAGGTCACGATATCGTCCATGTCGATTACGTGTTACAAGGATTTCCAGGCAAAAGAGCTTTCGCATGGCGATGCCACGATAAATGGATACCACCCAATGGTGCAAAGAATTGCTGACATTATTTACAGGGAGCAAATCAAACAGATAACAGGTATCACTTCAAACTTACACGGTTCCTATCGTGTATTTCTGATTGCGGCCTTTCTATTCATTTGATCAAATATTAACTCTACTTTCTTTTATTATTTCAATTGGCAGTGAATCACAGATGCGTATTAGGCTGCCACGGGTTAATTCCGCAGCGTGGGAATTAAAAAAGAGAGAAACTCGCAACGTGTTTGTTTTAAACGTCAACCAGCGATTGCGTGTTTTCACCTTAACGATTACGTGTCCGCGCCGTCTGCAGGACGTAAATGGTCCTGCTGACTTCCGCTAGGATAACCGTAAACACTAGAAATTCACGCCTTATTATTACGTCGCCGTAGACGAGCAGCCTTATTTTTCTTACGTGGAAATTTCAACACGGAATACGTCGTGTGAAATACTTTCCATTACGTTTAATTAGAGAAAAAAGAAATTGAATTAAATAACGAAGTTATACAACGATGGATCGGTTGCAAAATATGTGCTACTACGTTCTCCATGAGTAGGTGTTAAAAGTTGATAGGAACCGCAACTATCGTGACGCTATGCGATTTTACAACTCAATCACTCCTTTCTTTTTCTTTTTTCTTTTCGTTAAATCTAAGATCACGTACTAATACGTTCGTTTTTTTATCCAAGGTAAATTGCAAATTACCTGGTGCAAAGCTTTTTGTCGCAAAGCGGTGAACCGCAGATCGCGTATTGCCACCCTCTTTTTTTTTTCTTTTCACTCAATGATAAACTGCAACTCCCGTAGATCTACGTTTTTGTCGGTTAACAGCGAGTTACTTAATGTTGCGGCTGCACACACGATGCAGTTATTTTCAGTCGCAGTCGAATTTGAAGCTTCAAATCGATGCGTCACGAGCGGTATTTCGCAATACTTTTCTGTCAGGAAATCGCATTTGTTTGGAACATTCCAAAGGTAGAAAGGAATATAATTCAAAATAGACGTAATTCCGTCGTAACAATTTTTCAAGGGGGTTGACGTTTTAGACAAGAACTTAATAACTCATTGATACGTCACTCGGCGTAAATACAGGAGAAAATACGAACGATTCTGTTGGTTGTACCCTCCTCCTGTCAAACACAATTCGTCAGAATTGCCAGATGTCGCCTCCAGTTGCAATTTCGATTGGACTCTGTACCGGTACGTGAAAAGTATTACGTGTTCCAAATGAAAAAAAAAAAAAGAAAAAAAAAACAGCGAACAAGTAGAGAAAAGGGGTATAAAAACGTCGGGGTTGAGTCATGAAAATTTCACTGAAACGAGCATCAATGAGCGGGATAAATTCTTCGAGATGAGTAGAGTAATTTCAACGGGCGAGAGGACAACTTTGCCAACCATTATTGCGAGTTCTAAACTTTTTTTAACGCTTTTCGTTATTCAGGCACAGCGTTTCAATTCAAGCGAACGCGAGAAACATCTCTCTGCCGCGTAGAGTATTTTTTTCCTTTTTTTTTTTTTTGTATTTTTTATTTGTTCCCAGCTGAAATACCCGGTTTCTCACTTCACCGAATTCGCTGTCTCGCCTGATCGCTTTAAAAACGCGCTAGAAACTGTGTCAAACGAAACATCGACTGGTCACTTTCATCGTTACTGACAGATTATAAATCGTTTTTGTATCCTTGTATTTTTTCAAAGGCAATCATGGTTGAATTTCGCAGCGAACGTTTAATTGCCTTTTCTTTTCTTTTTTTTTTCTCTGTTGTCCTAATTGAATTCTAGAATAAGAAAAGGCTAGCAGGGTGACTCTTGGAGGGTGAATAGAAGAAAGAAGAAAGAAAAATTGAACGACCCCACCGGCGTGCCGAATAATAACACCGTCTGCAATTAATTTTACTTTCCCAATCACGTTACTCGTTTCGTTCGTTCCTTTTTTAGCGAACAGACGTCGATAAAAAGAAGAAGAGAAGTGTATCAAGCGTTCCGTTTAATACAAGCGTCCATCCTCACCACCACCAGGTGCGCTCTTTTCTCCCTTTTCATCCTGTTCGTATCCCCCTCGTGCTCTTCTCCGTCCCATCGTCTTCTCTCGAGTCGGAATCAAACGAAAGAAGGCACTTCGAGGTCCGTCCAGTCATTATCTAAAACGTTCTGAGGTAAGCTATTAAATGGCATCGGTATCTTTCTCGGTGGCCCGCTTGTCGTGCTTGTCGTTCTCTTCTCCTTTGTGCTGACTGCTTGTGCTCATCGCCTTCCAAGATCCCGGCCCTAGAGCAGACATGGGTGGCCTTTTCCTTCCTTTGCTCTCTCGCATTATAAAGAACGGATGAGAATCGAGAAGGCAGCAAGAAGAGGGAGCGTAGCAGGAACGGATAGGTTAGAGAAAAGCATCGTCCTCTTCTTGTTCGCCTTCTTCGTCCCTTTCCATCGGTTACCGGCATTCCAGCCGCCTATTTCGAGAATGACTGGACCCGTTTTCTGTCGCGACATCTACCTGTGTGTTATATCCTTCTCTTTCTTTTTCTCTGTTCATTGGAATCACGCCAGTTTCGTTGGCAGGCACAGCTTCAACCCGGTATTTTCATCCTTCCCACTCTACCCGACGCCCTCCTTCTGCAACCCCGATTTTCCTTGCCATCCCTCTTTCTCGCGCCGACATTTTCGTTCGATAACCGAGCGCGTGCGACTACGCGTCTTATCTCCTTTCCACCCGTCTTTTCAACCCCCCTCGTTCATTTACTTCTTTCTTTCCTCTTTCAACTCGAGCATCTCTCTTTTCATCGCTCTCTTTGATGCATCCACTTCGCGAATGACGTAACGCGTATCAGCAAATAGAACGACAATAATCTAGGAAAAACCTCCTCTGTTTTTATCATCATTTTAATCGATCGCGATTCCGCAATCATTGCTCGAATACTCTTCGTACCCTACTCGTTCCTCTCGTGTTATTCCCTTCCTTGTCACCCCCGACCGCGCGGTCCGCGCCAGCGACGCTCACAAAAGCGGTACAAACTGCGTTAACGGCGATAATGGGCGTAGTAAATAAGCAAGTGCAGGCGAAATTATAGCTGCCTCCCATCCACCACCACCATCACCGCCTCTTTTCCAGTACTCTGTTTAGGAGAGCGGCAGGAAGGGGGTTACAGCTGCTGAAACCACTTAACTTAACGAATGCCGCGGATAAAGGGTTACGCTTCGCCGCACAAAGGAGAACACTCGAAAAAATATAATTAAATGCTTTATTCATAACTCTCGTTCGGCCATGGCTCTTCTTCCTCGTCTCTCCTCCACCTTCCTACCCTTCTTTTCCTTTTCGGCCACGGGGGTGGAGGCACGTGCGCGGAGGGATGCAAATAAATGCAAAGACAATTGTTCCCGCGTAGCACGGGAAACGCGGACAAAAGGGTGCGTTTTTATCTGTACAGGTGAACCATAACCGCGACCAGTGTGTTTCGATAATAAATTATATAATTGATGTATGGATTTTTTGAAAATTTTGATTCGTATTTGATCGATCATCGTAGAACGAAGAGAGCGAAGTGGATAGGTGTGCAGCCAATAACGACACGGAGTTAGGAAGTTGGGGAATAAAAAAAAAAAAAAAAAAAAAATCGTTGGGAGATCCCAGTGAATATCAGGGTTAACTATTCCGGCTCTTTCAGCGCCCACACTCCTCTTTCAGGCTGCCGGTCGAAATTACGTTTTCGAGTCACTTCACCCAACGAGATTTGCCTATGCATCGAGAGAGAGAGAAAGAGAGAGAGAGAGAAGGGGACCTTCACCACCCTCTATCGGTAGAGAATTTTTGCAATACACTTTTGAATAGCCGCCATTGCTTGTGCTCGACTGAGCCGAGCTTTTCATCGGGACACACAGAGAGACAAACGTGGTAGCGGGCAGGAGCCGGCGAGAAGGACGGTACATCGGTATCAGCGAGGGGAGGTACAGGGTAACAGAAACAGATAGACAGGGTGGAAAGTGGAGAGAACGTGGCGGAGTTGGAGCGATAACTATTCCCTCCTGAAACTGCTCGTTCGCTTGTTGCCCGTAGGAAGAAAAGCTGTTCTCGTGCAAATTGAACGGCACCGTCGAGTATATAATTTGCACCTGACGAATTTGTTACCGTCCTACCGTTTTCACCCGACTCGCCGATCGAGTTTTCCCTACCTTGTCGTCGCATCGAATTGATTCTACATTTCCGATTAATTTCCTTCCTCTTTCTAACGATTTCTAGACAACTCGGACCAACCGTCCAAGGATTCCGAAGACAAAAGAATTCTTCTTTCGAGGGTTCGAAGAGTACGCGTACAGTGGTATTTAATAACTGTCGAAAGAATACAGGGGTTGGTGGCCGATGGTCGCGCTCGTTGCTCCTGTTAATAATTCCCCCGGAGGAGGCTCGTAGCTCGAATATATTTCTCGCGGTCGTTAATTCACACGGTCTAGCGTGGAAATAAAGGAATTCGCGGGGAATATTTTACTGTCGAACAGCACCGAACGCCTAACGTCCACCGAGAGTGGACCTCCTCGCGACAAGGGTATAACCAGCGGACCAAGGAGGATAATAAGAAAGAAAGGAGGTAAGGTTAGAGGAAACAAAGAAAGGGACTGCGAACGGAGAAAAAGGTATACATAGGTACATGCGCATATATACGTGTATACCTACTTGTTTTTTTTTTTTTTTTTTTAAAAGACTGGTGGTCCTGCTTATTGCGGTCGTCTGGTATTCAACGGCAGCCTAATAATAGGAGGCCGTTTTCGTGGAAGGAAGCGAGGGAAGTCGTTGCTCCGAATTATTCCGCGCCTTGGACCTGCAACAAGGCACATACAACGAAATTAATGCGGCAATAATCGTTTCGAGCATACCGTAATTCGCTAAACCGCCCTCCCTTGAGGCCGCTTTAATTCTGCAATAATTGTACTACACGCCAACTAATCACCCTGATACTCCTCTCCCTGTTCCTGCTTCACCCCCGTTTCCGCGCCGACCATTTGCCGTTTCAATATCCATCTTCGTTGATTATGGCGTCGAAAGAAACATCGTCTAGAGAGACTAGGAACGATAGGATTAGCAAAATTAATCGTAAACAGCGTGTGAGTTTCTAGTATAGAAATGAATTGTGTCCGGTAGAGTGCGTCCAATTACACGACATCGAGGGTCATTACCGGAAAGCCAGGACGCGTCCCAAGTGAACGGAAGTCCATCTACCTCCAGGAATTTAGATAATTGCTCTCTCTCTCTCTGTTAAAGTTTCACTTGGAATTTGTAAAGGGCGTACCGCAAAAGAGCTCCGCCGACGAACGTTTTATATCTTTTCGTTTATTCGAAATATTATCATTCAAGAAATAGACTCGGAGAAACGTGTTTAGCAATTAAGTAAATCGGACAGGAGCTGTTTCTCCTATTAACTAAGCGGCCGGCTCGCTCGAAGCACCGACACGTTCTCTAAACTGGAAACACAGACAATAGGAAACCCGTTGATTCGATGCTGCATTTACGAAAGCCAACTGTGTGTTGGTTAATTTCGATCGAATTCCAATTTGCGCAAATTCGACTAATTAAAATCGCTATCCTATGTACGGAAGCTTGGGAAACGGATAAAATATCAATCGATAAATCTATCCGGAATGAAAAATTATACCGTTAAGCCGGTTGTATAAAATTACATCGCTATCTCACCGAGCTATCCCGTCGATCTTTTTTCTCTATAATTAAACCTATTCTCAAGCTCGAAGCGGTAAAGAGAAGAAACAGAGAAGGTAGACCGTCTAATAACCGTTAACGCGATCGAATTTTAATCGGCAACGGAATTGCTGCTCTCGTTTGGTTTACGTTACGCCACGGACCACCATAAACCATCCAGCTAGAAGGTCCATCGACACGGTCGCCGTCCTAGAAACCGTAGAAACCCCTTGTTCCTCGATTTAATCCTCGTCTAACAAAACCGCACTGCTACCATTCAGAGCTCTCGCTTCGATCTACCTAATCGATCGGACGCTTTGATTAACGGAGCGATGGGTTCACAGAGAAGAATTCGGATTCGAATGAAATATCGTTCTCCAGGTGAACTCAACGAACAGGGGTGGTCGCTAACGCTCTCGGACCTTTTTAAAAAATGATCACTTCGTTAGAATGGCCTCGTTAGATGAGACGACCTGTGGGTGTAGCAAATGACGATAGCATTGGAGATAGAAGAGCAATGGTATCGGCGATGCCGCGAAAACTTTTATCTCGATCTATCGAGGTCGCGTTACACGTTCGCCAGTGCAAAACGTTTTATCAAAGTCTCTGGTTGCTTCGTTGTTTCTTCATCGAGCAGACAGAGATATTCCATTGGCCTCTTTCTCTTTCACGAAATCTCGCTCGGAACAAACTCGTCCCACCCTCCGGCGAAGATGTGCCTCTGGCTTTTGTAAACAGAGACGAGCTACCATGCTCCGTGTTTATGATCGATAGCTGTTGGAAAACCGCGCGCCCTCGGCTGTATTGTTCAATATTTAACGCACCGGCTGCCAACAGCTCTCTATCCGTGCCCGCCTCAACTCAGCCGTGTCAAAAGGCATGAATTTCAGGCCGGATGAAAGGAAAATCATCCAGCGGCGTGTTACAACCGAATTAACGTTTCCATCGGTCGCGACAATTCCGCTTTGAACTTTTTGTTTTCACGGAAAGCTATTAACGCGTTAACGATTACCGCGATGAACGAAGTGGGAATTAAGAAAAACGTTGCGCGGTATTTAACCCTTTTTTCGAAGGGTTGAAAATATTTTAGATCGCCAGGGATATACCATTGTTGCCTGTATATGGAACAACGATAAAAATGTCTTCGATAAACGGGGCCGGATGGCGAGCCACTTTATCTCGCGCTAATGAAAATTTGAAATGGAAGTACAACCGCTTTAATGAAACCTATAAATACACGGGCGATGGTTTAATCGAAGCTATAGCTGTTTCTATTTGGTTTATACAATAACGTATAGAACGAATCCGATGGTCGAACGTCGCGACGGAAATCGAGGAAACATCTCAATCTATTTTATGGAAAATACATCGGCCATTTAATTATTTACGTTATTCTATCCGATTCGTATCTGAAATCGTATTTCCAATCGATGTAATTCTCCGATGTGTACCGTTGAAAAATAATACCACGGAATAATTGATACTTTACTTATGAACGACGCCATTATGGTATCGTTTCACGCGTGGATTTGATCAGTTATGACCGATATTAATGATCTTGTCAATTCCCGAGAGAAAGTTACTTATTCAACTCTCAAGATCGTAAAGCGTTAAAATGCTATCGATGTTCAGTCTTTTAACGATGTATAAATCTCATCGAACTGGAGAATGAACTTAAACGCAGAGGCGGTTCTCGAGGTGGGTGTTGGTATCGAGTGGAGAGAAGGAGATGAGGAAAAAAAATCATCGTAATTAAAAAAGATTCGAAGAAAAAGTTGGGAAGAAAAGAAAAGGCAAACTCGGCGAACGTACTGGCAGAGCTTATCGTGGAAACTTTCGTCTACGATTCCGTCGAGCCTCGGCTCTCCTCCGCGAATAAAACGAGTCGAGATGACTCGTGCTAGCGAACACTGCTAATGACACGAGCTTTTAACAATCGGTAAGCACGATCGGCTCGAGCAGAGCTTCAACTTCGACTACCAACTTCTACACAACAAACCAACACACCGGTAGTAGTCTTTTTTTTCAAGCATTGTCTTTCCCTCTGACTCCGTCGCGAAAGCTGATTGTCGAGGATTCGAGGTAGCGGCAAGTACTCGGAAGTTTAAACCAATGTGACATAATAACAATTCTCGTCTGTTATTTCACGTGTCGCGTGTTCACGGGGAAACGTAGACAGTAACGGTGGTGGCGGTGGATGAATCGACGGCCGCGAATCGGGACGAAACAACAAATCTGTCGATCTAGTTTAACACGGGTTACACTTAACCTATTTTCATACGGAAATTGCATCGCGAGGTGTACGGTTATTACTATGCGAACGGGTTTTATAAAAATTGAAAAATTGAATTTCCGCCGCGGGAAAAGCGGATTTCTTCTTGCTCCGGCTCGCTAGCCACCGTACAAATTAAGGTCGGTAACAGTGGGAGGAGGTGTGCGTATATTCCACTGGAATATTCTACCCCTTAGTATCGTCAAATCTCATCGACGATAATGTCATTGTAATTTATTATTTTCCCCGCGGTATCAACGCTCGACCTTCCCCTTTCGTTGATAAAAATGAAAATTGAAAATAGCACAGACCAACGCGAGTGCTGGTGTTTCCATTGAAATCCAACGAATAACCATTTCTGTCGATTCGAAATCGTTTCGATCCAAAGAAATTCTTTACCCATAAACACATTCGATCGGTCGTTGAACTAGGTATAAATATATCGTTGGTAATTTGAATAGGAAGCAGGGGGAAACGTACGGAATGGGGTTGCGTGTCAATGGACAGAGACGCGTACCAGCCAGGGAAACTGTCGATGGAACACTTGAAACGGATTTTCCAGCCAAGCGTACGATGTAGTTAAAACAGCGACGACAGCTTTTAATTGGGGCTAGGATGCCAAGTGATATATTGGAATTAATCGGCAAGTTTCGACCGGCTAACGAATTAAGAGAGAAAGAGATATCGAATTAGATCAGTCAACGAATAATGGAAGAATCGATACAATTAATGCTTCCATTGGGCGCCACTGGCGGACACGATTTTCTCCTTTCCCCTGTATGCTTTATACCGTTCAAAGGTATAAGTTCCCTTTGAGGTTGAACGATTTCATCGGGAGGGAAATTACCAATGCGAAAATCGATCAAACGCCCGGCTATATAATATTTACACCGTTTCAGAAATTTCTCTAATTACGCGACGCGACGTAAATTGTTCTTATCAGGAAGAAAAAAAAAGAAAATTCGAATTTTTATCCGGTACAAATTTAACGAATTAAGCTCGGAATTGCCGTCCAGCCGATAGATAAAAATTTTCACCTGGAAACGGTAAAAGTCGTTAAACGGCGATTAAAATGAAACAGCTGACCGAAATTATTCAGAATTACCGTTAATAGATTCTGCGATTTTAGTCGTTTCGATGCAACGGAAATTATAATTAATGTATCCGGCTGCAGTTTACTTGGTTCGCGATAGTAATTCGTTTTCTCCCGGTATTTTATGCAGGGGCTCGCGTCAATAAAATATTTCGCGTCAGAAACTCTCGGGTGACGGTGTAAAGTGTTTAATTGGCCGACGCGGTGATGGTGAAACTAGTAAACGGTCGGCGGATTTGATTAAAATTTGAAAATCCCACTTTTCCGCTTGACAGCGTCAAATTACGTTTCTGTAGATTTCATCCGCGATAATTAATATAATCATTAAAGCTGTAAAAGGCTTTAACTTGGCTGCTGTGACGGTAGTTTCTCTATTCGCCGCAAGATGGATCGTCGGTCATTCGAAGTACGGTACTTTCTTGCTAGTGCTCACCCAACTATTCGTCCAAACATCGTATAGAATTACCGTTTCCTGGCAAAATGTACAAGAGCAAAAAGTCGCCAGACGGTAAGATTAACCTCGTCTATTAACACGAGTGTCGCCCACCGAGGCGGGTGCCCAATTGTCTATTCTCGTTTCGTCGGGGTAGTGGAAGCTCCCTAACCCCTGCTGTGCATTTCCTATGCAAAGGACCGGCGCGTACTTTTTAACGTGCCGTAATAATAGCTTAGGAGATGCAATTAAGTGCAAATACAAGCGATTGGGACGAAGGTGCATCCGCACCCGCACAGGGGGGTTAGACGGCAGTAAGATAGGACAGAC